ATTCAATCTTCCGCTATATTATTTTAAAACCATCACTAGAAGGTTACATCTTTACAAGGTATTAATCCGGATGATTTTAAAGATACAGATCCATAGCAACGAAATTTGCTGCATGCTACATTAAGTCTAACCATCACAGAGTTATGTACCACAGATTGTGAGTTGTAAAATTTCTATGGGCAAAGAATATTCTTACTGGCCCTTTGCTGTGCTCTTTCTCTGCAGACGGAGACTTTCCACTGCAGCAGAATTTTTGGGATAGTCTTTTCTAAATAAAAATAAAAAGTAAAAAGGCAGGCACATGACCAAATTGGACAATATTCAGAGAATATTACTAAGCATGTTTAATGACCTCACATAAAGAAGAAATTCTTAGTTTAACACTAACAAACACTTCAAGTTAGGGAATGCTTTGTTTTGCTTACTAAAATATTAAAAAGAAGTTGTGAGTCAAGTACCCAAATATTCATGAAATGAATTCTAAATAGCAAATTTTTGAATCATCTCAAGCCTGAAAGGCTTTCAAACGCACTTATTTTCCTCCCTTTCCCCTCCTTCTCTACCCCCCAAACGTAAAATGTAAAAATGTGGTTTTCTGAAATATTTTAGAATGGTTACAATTAGAAGATTCCCAGAACAGGGACACTGAAAAGGACACCAAAACTGGAGAATCATTGCTTGAGAAAATACAAATGAAAAAAGTTGTCAGAAGTGAAATGCAAAATTTTACCAGCTACATTTACTATCACAACATAAAGCAAGTATCACAAATATGACACTATGATTTTAAACAACAGTAGCATTTCTTTTTAAAAGGGAAATTCTAAAACTATTAATCTATTCAGCAATGTCTAGAACTATTAATCTATTCAGCAATGACAGGAAGGAATGGAGTCTAATAAACATTTGCATTTAAATTTATGCTGGTCAATACATAATGCATTTCCTTTACTTATTTTTTAAAGTTTCAAAAGGAGTTTTAAGAAAAGTTTACAATATACTATCTACACTTGAATACTACAAATGTTTAAGTAAAATAATGAAGTAAATAAGTACATGAAAATTCCATAGCATTCTCCTGTCATCTGCAAATTTAAGTTCAACTGTCATTCTTCAAAAGCTGGATAAACATGCTCCATACACTCACTTCAACTGAGAGCATGATTTAAGCATTCCTTTATCACTGCAGGTGACAATTTACTTTTTCAAACTCTGAATAAATCAGACAAGAATCACTCAGGCAAATGTGGAGCCAAAATTCACAACCCTGCCAAGTGTGATGCTGTTTGTGGCAGAGCTGTACATATTTCTTTTCCAAACAAGTTCTATATGTCAAAAGAATATGAGAAAAAACTGTATTCATTCATCTTTATACTATAGCACCTTAATGCTTGAGTACAACTGGTACTGGTTCAAAATACAACTGGTTTACTGTTAACAATTCGGTGAATACAGATTCAAGACATTTCACATTTACACAAATTATGTAGGATTTTTTTGATTCCTTTCGTAATTCAATTCATATACTTACCTCCTTGCTGTCCTGTAAATAGAAAATACTATTTTTATTGAGGATCATTAAAAGACAAAAAACCCCCACAAAATTTCATGAAAACTTATTTTAGACTTTGTCTTAACAGACTTTAAAAAATAGTTAATCATACCACTAATACTTACAAAAAAGGCACTAACCTCATTTTTACTAGATTGCACAGATTCATTTTCTCTGCAAGACTGAGAGGAGTCACTTAGCAACCTGTCAAAAACAAAAACAAATCCCTCAAGCTCTTATTCAAGTTTTCAACAACTCTGGCAACCTTGCCAATCAACTCATTTTAATCAATTCTCTCAAGTCTTAATTTGTTCTACACTGTTCTCAGAACAAAGCTTGCTTTATTTCCGTGTGATTGCATCTTTCTGATTTGAACCTTTTCTTAAGTGAAGTACAACATATGTTTTCAAACCCATAGCAGCTTATTTTTTTTAATACAATTATTTCTTAACTATTCAAGTTGAGTCCTAGCAAGCTATATCTGCATAAACTTTTTTCTAAAGGTACTAATAAAAAGCCATTTTAGAACTAAATTACAATTCTATCAGTATTTTAACCCTGAAAGATTAAGAGACTATATAATTTTACGCATATAGAAATACTGTGTTTATTCAGAGTTATCAAAATAACCAAAACAGTAGCAAATTATACACTCCACTTAAACTTTGCATTTTGTATCTTCATAATTGGACATAAATAAATATAATGCAATGAATAAATTATGTATCTAGAGTGAAAAAAGGATATAAGAAAAATCTGCCGGTGTATTTCTAAAACTGCATATTAAAGTATCACATACAAATTATCTCTATAGTAGGTAAATCCTATAAAAGGCAACTGGTTTCCCACGAACGCTTTGGGAATTGGGAAGGTTTCCACGTCTCCCTTGTCGTCCTCAATGTCGTCAAAATTACTGCTGTCTATATCACTGCTAAGCTCAGGAACAACAGGAGCAGCAGCTATAAAAAGGGGAGAAAAGATCAACTTCATTCCAAGATTCAGCTACTTGCTATATACTAGTAACCCTATAATGTTAAAAAGTCTAGTTGTCTTGCTAGTTAAATATGTATTAACCATAGGGCAGATCTGTAAATACTACTGTGAACATTTTTTTCTAGAGAAATCTACTTTTACACTAGTTTCCTAATGCACAGAGTATCTAATGTGCGAAATGTATTTGCTAAAGTAATCGCATTTCAGAATAGAACTCTAAATACAATCAGCATTTTAAGAAACTTTAGTAAATATATGACTTTAGAACTTACGATCAAGCTCATGATCTGAACTGACATACTTCATTTTTTTGCTTAAAGCTATCAGGTTCACAATGCCTTAAATGAAAAGCAGTAAAACTGACAAGAATGCTGTCAGACTACTGTCTACTACAAAAGGTTAAAAAACCCCACAAAACACAAACAAAAAAAAACCCCCAAACAACCAAAACAAAACAACAAAAGCCACAAAGAAACAGAATGTAGCATGCATTCTTTTTAGTTAGAATTCTAAAACATCCAGTTCTGTTGTTCAAAACAGAAATCTATACATTTAAAGCGTGATAAAGGTGAGGATAATTCCAGCAGGAAAAATATGTATTTTCTAACCCTTACTGATAGTTTTTATAATACAAATGATAAATACGGAAGTTTCAGCAAGATTCTTGATAGACAGAAAATACTAACTTAATTTATACAGCTTAAAGTTTGTTTTTTTTTTTCATTTCCACTATTCCAAATACTGAATAAAAATCGAACTTTTAAGCTAATTTACTTACTCTCTCGAATGTTGTCCCAGTTCCACTGATCACTCTTGAAGAAAGGATGATGCTTTATTTCTTCTACCCCATTTCTCCCAAGTCGCACATCCCTAAACATAGCAATTAAGCCAAATTCACATTAGCAGAAACAGCATTTGTTTTTTGTTATTTAAATTTTGACTTGCTAATAAGCAGCAAAAACTTTCCGTAAAGACTGTCTGTAGTAGCCACATTAATGGTCAAATTAAAAAAATTTAAAAACCACCAACTACTGATCTGTAGGTTCTTATACAAAATGTACTCTGTTTCTTAGCATATACTCTCCCTGTGACTGCTAAAATGCCCAGAGTTTGGACTCTGCCACGTGGGGAGTAAAGCAAGAAAGAGAGCACTGAGGCAAAAACTAAAAACACAAACAAAAACCCAACACCCTCGGGGGGGAAAAAAAAACTGCAGAAGTTCTGCGTCTGCCAAACCACATGACAAACCTTAAGACGCAAGTGAAGGAAGGTCTAACTTACTGCACAGAACAGTTATTCAAAGCTGGACTGAAATAAATATTTTAAGAATTCCATCCTCTGCCCCATAACTAACCCTGACACATCTTTTGCTGATGAAGTAAATCTTATGTGCAACAAGAAACTTTTAGTTTGACCAGAAGTCTCTCTTAAAACTATCTACAAGAAAAGGACATAAAAACAATGCATGTAAAAGAACTAATAAATCATAGGGTCGATGCTTATTCCTTCTTTAAGTGCTTCAGCAACGATCACGCATGTGGAAAAAGGCATCTGTTTCAAATAAATGGCTCAAGCACTGTATTAAATATAAACAGGAAGACGGACACACGTACTGGAAGTACACCTCGCTGCATTTACATTATTAAATATAACCCATATTTTCTCTCGACCCTTCAGCTACTAAGGGTGAGAAACGCTATTAAAGCACATCCTTCCTGAGTAACCGCAATCTTGCTCAACAGATCAAACAATCTCTCTTTGAATGCAAAAACCATTATAAGGCAACTTTTTTTTCCTAATCCCTCATTCTAAAGGCTAGATGCTCTGTTGTAGCCAAGTTCAGGCGAACACAGAAAAGCCTAAGAAGGCATCATTGATCCAGGGTTAACTATGGACCCACAGCGTTTGTCTTTTGAATCACAGAAACTGAACGTGATCCCTGCTTTCCGGAACTAAAGGAAATGTAAGTGTTCAGGTCAAGAACAAGCTTACACAACTTAATATCTATAAACGGCTCAGCTCCACAAAGGGAGATCTGTTTATAGCTAAAACAATACCCTTGCTGGTTTGTTAGCTATACTTGTCAATTACTACAACAAAGCAAATGAAAAAAAGTTCAAACATTCTAAGAAGGCTTAAACAAACTCAGTAAATACATGCTTATTTCCATTAAAATATTTGCTTTCATTTTTTTTAAGTAACACCCGCTTAGACACTGAGCACAACAATTTAGTCCCCGCCTTGGAGCTTAGAAATTACTTTCAGCGTTACAGGTTTGTTACTGTATTATACACCGCAATTGGAAGGATTTGTCTGGCACAAATTGTGTTGTTAACAAGAGCTGTCAGAACTGTTCATAGAAATAAAATACAATACCTGGAAAAAACATGCCAAAAGAAAAACTAGAGAGCCGGAGATTTTGCAGAAGAGATCTGAACAGAGATTAGGAGAAGTAATGGAAGGAATTAATTTTTTACAATGTATATATGCTAATATTATCCAAAATAAAAACAGTACCAGAATAATACATGCACTTACCTATCAGTTAAAAAGGCACAGATGAGGTTCTTTGCATGCTTAGAGATTTCGACATCATCCGGGAAGTGTAATGAGTTCTTGTGATCCATAATTTTACTGTATGTTCCTACTAGCGAGTCTGCATAAAAAGGAGTATCACCTAAAAATAAAATAGTAAATTGACTGTGATTTTGAGTCATATTACAGAATCACAGAATCACTAGGTTGG